TGAAACAGTTAAAGCGCGCATACCTTCTAACAGCGCCGCGTCTCCCACAACGCGACACGACACGACCACAGGCAAAACGCAGCGCTGTGTTGTGCTGAAAAAAAAAATACATTGTGATTTCGCGCATTGTGTCTGATCCAAGGCCTATTTACACGATGCGTCCTAGACGTACGTCCAAAACGCACCGTGTATGACAATGCAAATGTATGACCCTTGCGATATCGGATGCACAGGACGGATGTTCTAATTTCTTCCGACATTGCGTTTGCATTGTCATACACGGTGTACGTCTAGGACGTACGTCTAGACGCATCGTGTAAATAGGCCTTCAAGGCCTTCATATACGTTATGACGTTATGACGTTATTATAGCGTCTAGACGTTATGAGCGCATTGTGTTCACTCTGGTTCAGTGATCTCAGTGATCAGATGTGCAGTGATCAGATGGGTAGTGATGTGATCAGTGGTGCAGTGATCAGAAATTATGCATGTGCTTGTTGTCCATTGACTGATGGTAGCGTGAGCAGAACACGCGATAAAAAACAATTGCGTTGATTGGTTCTAGGCCTATTTATCATACACGGTGTACGTCCTAGACGTACGTCTAAGACGCATCGTGTAAATAGGCCTTGAATTGAACACAATGGCCACAAATGGCCTCACATGTCCCGAGGCGTACGTCGGGTCGGATTGTTTCGTTCACGGCGACGTACGACTATCTTTATTGCTGCTTGCGTAGGGATGAATACCTGACGGCTTTTCCGACACCACCATTATGCCTGACCCATGTCCAAATCGTGTCTGACTCGTGAGCATAAGGGCTACGTGTGCTACACAGGCAGAATTCAAACAGATGCCATCTGATGGCATCCTTTGGGGCCCAGTACTCTCAACAGCGTTTGTTTTAGTTATATCTGCATAAAATGCAATTTTAAAGCTCATTATTGTGCGTACGGATGATCGCTAGTGTGAATCGAGAGAGAGAGAGGGAGAGAGAGAGAAAGAGAGCGCGCGCGTGGGAGAGAGAGAAGGTGAGTAACAGTGGCGCCGCGCTTATTGTACGTGTATCCGAGCATTGGTTCTCTGCCTGTGTGTGAATTGAAAAATTGGTGCGTCTGGGTGTCAACCCGTAATAAACAGCCGGGCTTGTCCCGTCATATTATCACTCCACTTCTATCTTCGGCCCTCTTTCTGAACTTCACGTCTTCGGCAAGCTTTTCTTTTACGAGCTGACGTCGGGTGTAGACGACGAAGGGGGATTAGGACAACACAACGCAC